CCCGATGCAGCCCTGGGTGCTGGAGCAGCCATGTGGAGACCCCTGCCAGTGCTGAGATGCTTACACATTCACTGATTCGGCTTTCCTCCTGCAGTCAGCATCATTGCTTGTCTTTTGTGAGATGGAAGAAGACTTTGTGGATTAGTGTTGGACATATGGGTTAATGTTGGGCTTGGGCAGCACTGGGTTGGGGTGTTTTCTTGATGTGCACTTAACCTTTATATAAAACTCTCTCTCTTATACATGAGTTTCTGTGGATTTGTTTCTTTAATGTACCCAGACTAACACAATGCTCAAGATAGGTGTATTGAGGGAATGAATGATTGAACCTGGGCTCTGGGAAAAGGGAGGAGCTTGCATTTCTGGGAGTCACTCCAGGTGAAGTTCTTGAGTGTTTTGGGGGTGGTACGGAGAGAGAATTTGGGTTTCCAGGTTGACTTTGTGGGCAGGTTGGGAGTTGGACAATGATTTCTCAGTCATGAGAGCTGACTTTCATAGGACGTAGAATTTTGACAGTTATTAGTACAGAAGGTTTGGTTGGCCAGCTCTTTTCCCTACAACTGTGTGTGGTCTTGCACTAATGATCACCCACACGTGCTTATCAGGAGGGTCTCCAGAGAGGACAGATTTGTGGACAGAATATTGGAAAATGGCATCTTATGGGGTGATTCTAGTGTCCTCAAGAGTTGGGTGGGTCCATGTGGGTGCAAATGTTGTTGTTGTTAGATGCTACCAAGTTGGTTTCAACTCATAGTGACCCTATGCCCAAGGGAACAAGACCCTGTCTGGTCCTGGGCCATCTTCACAATCAGTCCTCTGGTAGAGCCCATTGCTGCACCACTGTGTCAGCCCACCTCGTTCAGGGCCCCCCTCTTATTCACTGGGTGCAAATAGACATTTGTAAATCAAGTTTTATTTAAGCTCCTTGGATTAGCTTGTTATGAAGAACCATTTGGTGAAGGCCTTGATTGATTTGTTTTTGTTCATCAGTATTTTTATCGATCATCTCTGCTGGGGCACATCTCCATTATTATTCACATCACTTTCTTTTCCCTTGACCTCTAAGTGTTGATGGTTGCTGAAGAAGCTCCCTGGGAGCCTCTCCTTGTCTACTTGTCCCCGCTTAGCAGTGTCAGCCTCCTGTCTTCACATCTCATTTTTTGCTTGTAAGCTTGCTATAAATTAACATCGCACGCTTGACCTCTATGCCGAGCTGCAGCTGTCTGATAGACATCTCTCCAGCATCTCCAACGGAGTTTGTCTCAGACTGGACTCATCATTTTCCTTGTTATGCCGTGTTCTCGTTTTATGGAAAGCTCATGTTTCCAGTTCTTTGAATATAAAACATACTATGTGTATGTGTGCGTGGATGTATACTTTTCAATATTTAAACTCTCTTGTGAATATATTTATAAAAGCTTGATCTTTATTAAGATCTAATTGACGTTCCGAAACCTGCGCATGGTTAAGGAGGACAATGTGATGTTCTGACAGACCTACGCCTCATGGCACCGCCACAAAGAAGCTGACGGGCAGTCACCATCAGCAACGTTTCCTTGAGCCCCTAAGAAACACTCCCTTTGCCCGTTCCTCCCCTACGCCTAATGCTGAGGAACCACTGGCCTTACTTTTTTATTGGTTACAAATTAAACACCTTATAAAACAGAATCATACCAGGTCGTACTATTTTGGCGAAGGGGTCTTGCGTTCTTTCATGCACAAAGCTCTTTAAAGTATGTTATCTTCTTATAAAAATAACACTACGATCAAGAGGCTGATACTCAGAGAGGTCAAGTTCTTTATCCAAGGTCACCCAGCTAGAAAACAGCAGCGTTGACCTCAGAGCCCATGTCACGCACAGCTGGTCTGGGAGTCCCACATGTCTTTTTCTGACCAGCAAACCTGCTCTCTGTTTTGATTTTGAGTTTTGTGCCACATTTTCGTTGCAGTCTATCCCAGACTTTCTAATGTGATCTCTTTCAGAGCGGTTGGTGGTGATAGGCGGGCACCATCTAGTTCTTCTGGTCTCAGAGTTGGGGAGCCTGATGCGTGTGGGGTGCATTAGTCCGCTGGACTAATTGTTTCCATGTCTTCAATTTTCATTCCCTACTTTCTTCTAGTCAAGGAAAGAATAATAGCTGTCCCCTAGATGGCCACTCTGGAGCTTTTAAGATCTCTGTTGCTACTCATCAAAATAGGATGCAGAAAAGTGTCTCTGTGAACTGTTATACCAGCTGACCCTTGAGTCCTCTAAGACTGTGGTCCTGAGCGTTCGGGCCCAGGGACTCATTTCCTCACAGTGCTTGATTATGTCTAAGACGTTTTTATAATTTGGGCCCCTTTATGTTCCACCACATCCATGGCTGTATTTGCAGCAAAGGTAAATGCACAATGTACACAGGTGCAACTATCCTTTGTCAGACGTTTTGGTGTACTCTGATTCTCCCTCCCACACTCATTCAGCGTGTGTGTCTGTCCATGCAGCTACTCAGAGATCACTACAGTTGCAGGATTGTATACCTATATTATTTTTAGATACTCCTCTCTTCGCCCTGCATTCTAAGTCTGATCAGGTACCAGCCTTCCCCCTCTGTAATCCCCATGCCTTGTACAGGTGTCCTTGTTTCTGTGTGTACTACTCTCGTGTTTGTTTCAGGCCTTCGTCCCCTCTTTGTTTTTTTTTGTTGTTGAAATTTTTATTGTGATGAAATATATATAACAAAAACATTTGCCATTTTTACATGTATGATTTAGTGAAGTTAATTATGTTCAACATGTGGTGAAATCATCAGCCCTATATGTTTCCAAAGTTCTCATCACCCTTATAGAAACTCAGTTCCTCTTAAGCAATAGCTCCCCATTTCCCCTCCTACACACCTCTGGTAACCACTAACAAATGTTGGTCTGTATGCATTTGGCTATTCTGGATGCTTTAGAGAAGTGGGATCATACACAATGTGCCCTTCTGTGTCTGGCTTATTTCCCTCAGCCTAATGTTTTCAAGAGTCATCCACGTTGTAATGTGTGCCAGCACTTAATCTCCTTTGTGATGGCTGAGTGATATCCCACTGTATGGATATACTGCATGTGGTTCAGCCACCCATCTGCTGATGCACAGTTGGGGAATTGCCACCTTTCAGGTTTGGTGAATGCTGGTGCACTGAACATTGGTGGACACCTATCTGTAATTTTCACTTCTTTGGGGCATACACCTAGGAGTGGAATTATCAGGTCATATAATAGTTCTATAACTTTTTGTTGAAATGGTTTTCTTAGGAGTTATACCTCTGGGCACACAATTGCCCTTGTTGAACTCCTATTATATGGGGAGTGCAGGCGGGCACTCTGGGGGATGCCTTGTGAAGGACAGTAGTATGAGTTACTCCCAGACCAGAGCATCTATGGCAGTTTGAGACCCTCCAGAGCCCCCTGTCCCCTCTGCCTGGCAGCCAGCCGGCCACTTTGGGCACTGGCTGCGCTGTCGTCAGGAGTCCTCCTGTCTGCTGACCTGCGATGGATTCGTGGCACGAATGACTAGTTCCTCCTTGTTCTCAGCTGCTGAAGTTTATTATGCAGCATAACTACAGCCAGCATATCCCTGAATCCTGTGGCTGATCTATGCCTGTCAGAAGGTGGGGATGGGGAAGCTGCATTGCTAGGCAGCAGGAACGCTTCTCTGAGTGGTTCAGTCCCTTGGCCTCTCACTGTGGGGCGTCCAGTGATTTTGATGCAGATGTGCAGCAAAGGATGGATGATACTGTTCCCTCTCTTCTCTGTGGGTTGCCTTCTAAATTAATTAAAAGCTGGAGGTGAGCACAGAGAATATGCTATTCCATTAGAATGCTCTTTTAAGATGTTTTACTGTATGTGATAGGACGTCCCCATCCCTTCCGCCAAGTTTTGTTTTACGAGATGTAGCAGGATTGCTCTCCTGGTGAGGGAGTGCGTTGTGCTTTCCAGAGAGGAGCGTGTGTGACCTGCTTCCCTGGAGAAGCGCTAGCATCTGGAGGGGCTGCCGGCTGAGTTCGACAGCCGTGGGAACAGCCAGGTGCCGGCACACCAACTGCTCTGTGAGCCACGAGTCTGACAAAACACGGGTGGATTCCCAAGCGTATGGGGCCTGCGGCTATTCCTCAGACAGAAGGTAAAAAACCAACAAGCCTGCAGCTGAACCTCTGATGGCAGGGAAGTGGTTACCTGTGCAAATCAAAAATTAAGAAGAAAAATGGGTGATTCTACTAAGTCTTCTCAGGAACAGGAAATGACAAGAATGGGCAACAGACAAGAGATTTAATTGCATAAAAACTCCAGGCTGTGACAGGGGTGGGAAGGCACACAGCAGTAATTAACAACATAATTTCTTAAATGACGATGCAATTAATTAACAGCCTGAGAAAGCGGGGTGTGAGGAAGATGCCTTTTAGCCCAGAAACCTAGCCGAGTAAAGGAAAGGGGGACTTCCCGTTAAAGAAAACGAAACAAGACTTTGTGCAAATCTCCCTGCTTATTGGGACCTTAGCAAAGCTCACGACCACCACCCAAGACATTTCTCTTAGCAAAGGCCAGCTTGGCACTTCATTGTATTCGGAAACTTCTTCTCGCCGAGGGAGAGATGCTAGGCTCGAAAAGGAAGTTGGCTGACATTCATGGTTCACCCATGCTTCAGGTGGAGAGCTAGTCTCCCTTGGGGGTTCTCAGGGTGAGGTTCCAGGTGCTCAAAGCCTCCCAGGGGTGGGCTCCCATGCCTGTAAGGGTTTAGAGACTGCTGGAGCTGGGCTGTTCGGGCTGGTTGGGCAGTGTGGGGGCTGACCACATTCTGCTCAGAAAATGTTTTTCTGAAACTGCTTGGGCTGTTCCCTTGTGGGAGATGGCTGCGTGGCAGGATTAGGAATGTCTGAGAGCAGGAATTCTCCCATGATTCACACTGTCAGTACTCCGTTCCCCAGAAGGTCAGAACGGGCCACCCTCACCTGTCTCAAGATTTCAAGGTGACAACTGGATATGCAGTTTGAAGGATCCCCTCCCACTAATTTCTGGGCTCCCTGTGGTCCAGGAAACTGTCGTCTCCCTCATAATTACAGGGCTCCCAGCCCCAGCTCAGTGATGGAGTTGGCTGTCCCGGAGTCAGACTACAGCCGAGAAACAGAATGAAGTTTACCATCCGCTGAGAGTCCTGTCATGACCTGGAATTTGTTCTCCTTCTCAAGTGAGTCTCCGCCTTCAGCACTGCCTGACCAGACGTCCTTCAGGCGGACATTTATTTCCACTGTGGGCTCAGTCCAGGACGAAGTTTGGGTTTAACTACCTTTGAGTTTCCAAGTCCAAAATGTCTTTTACCCACAATTCCCCCTTCCCGTATGCTCAATCTGGTCATTTTTGGCAGCTTAGGGGACACTCCCTAAAGTGACATCAGCCGAGATACTTGCTAATTTAGCTTAAAATGAGGGTTACTTTATTGAGCGGCTGCTCCTGTAGCATGTGACATAGAGAAAGAATAAGACACAAGGGTGGGGAATAGCTTTTAGGTTTTGAATAGCTTTTAGGTTCTGGACCTTCCGGTGGTGAAAGAAAGGGTTCCCCAGCAGACTTGCCTCTTGTACGTCATACGCACAGTTCTAGAGAGTGGTGTTGATCGTAACACGTTGACGTGGGCACTCCCCTCCACGTGTTCACCAGAGCTACAGCTACAGAGTGAGATGAGTCAATCAACCCAGCTATCAGGCATAGAGGGGAAAGCCACCATTAACTCAAGAGAAGTGCTATTACAATATGGAATCATTTAAACAATTTGCTTCCTAAACAGAATTTGACCTAAAGTAGAGATCTAAAGAGAAACAGCAGTAACAACAACAACAAAAACCCCCACAAACCCTCGCTAACACTGAAAAGAAAAACAACAACAACACAGAAGTCCTTAGTCATTTATAAAACTAAAGTTTAAGATGAATACTGCCCCAGAGTCAGTGGGGGGTGAACTTGGCTTATGCCGACTCAGTTTCAATCAAGAAGTTGCCCTTCGGAGCAAGAGGGTCCCCAGCGCAGGTACTTGGATTTCAGAACAACCCGTTCAGAAAAAAACATTTTATCTAGGTTTTTCTTTGATCTGTTGAGGCCCTTTAAACAGCTGCTTGATACTTTGTGGAATTCTAAAGCTATGTATCATGTAGAACCCATTCTGGAACGAGCACGTGTCTCCTCTCTCTCCAATGGAGGCGACTTGCGAGAACAAAGATTCTGTGTTCAAACAAATGTGATCGTTAACTGTGGAGCCGCCAAAGAGCATATGGCCTGTTTCGTTTCTGCCAAGTCATTCCTAGAGAAAGTGACGGTGTTCCCGTGAGGACTCACGAGAAGGCAAAGGAGGAGGGAGAGTCAGGTACCCTGCCCCCTGGCCGGGCTGAAGGTTCCCCAACACCACAGACTTGTGATCCCAACACGCGCCCCGAGTCCCCCTCTCGGTTGATGTCACACCAGCTTCAAAGAGTCATGATGAGCCGGGTCATGCTCTTGGATTTGCACCATTTCCGCAGGACGTTGAAAATGCAGGCACAGCTCTGGCCCGCGTCCGCCTTCCCCAGGGTTGGGGGACTCGGTGGCAACACAAAATGTCAGAAACTCGATCCAGCTCCACAGAAGAGACTGCTATTTTACAGTGTAATTTATAGGACCAACGGGGGGCTCTCCGCCCTGCGTCTTCCCCGACTTGTGTCCCACCCCCCCCCCTTCTTCTCTGGTCCACGCAAAGTGAAAAACCACAAAGACAGATAAAAACCTTAGGAGACAGAAAAGACGAAGACAGGTCTGATCACAAGACGAGCGTCTCGGCCTTGGCCGACACGCGGCAGGGCGGAGTCTGGAGGGAGAGGCTGGCTGCCGCTGCGACTGCACAACGCTGTGTTTCCACTGCTGGACAAGTGCAAAAAGAACGCTGCGGAGTGCCGCTGTGTCACTCGGCCGGCCGCTCACGGTGTGGCAGGTGGCTTCGGAGACGGGCACGAGCTCTCGCTGTCGAAGCTGGCAGCTCGGCCCTGCCACTGCGGGAGGATACAAGCGGTCAGGGAGTGCCCCGGAACTTCCCCGGCCCCGTGCCCTGGCACCCCCTCTCCCCGCTTCTCATAAGCTTTCTTTCTTTGGCTGTCAGCCATGCGACCCACGTCAGGAAAAGAGCTTTAGAATGTCCAGTGTGGGATACCTGATTTTTTACTAAAGGCTCTAACTGCCGCAGAGATCATTCAGGCTTGTGTGTGTGTGTGTGTGTGTGTGTGTGTGTGTGTGTAGCGCTTGCCTGGACCATCTCTGTGTGCCTCAGCCTTTTTTCACACTGAAGATCAGATGATGTTTGCAGCGAAAGAGGCATCCTTTCTGCAAAGAACTCGCGATCATGAATTATTAGCAATTTGTCTGGGAGCTATTAGTACAGCGAAAAACCTGCTCTTGGTTTAGCGCTGGACTCCCTTCCTTGCTCTTAATGCTTCCTATGGGCCCCTCACCCGACTTGTGAAGAGGCAGGAGGGCGAGGAGGTGGCAGCCCCCTCCTCTCCCTGGCACCCCCAACCTCATTCTTCTTCTCAGCTCTCCTGTCTCCCAGATTGCCTCCCTCCCCCCTCTAAGCCCCCTGAGAAAGTGGGTGATGTAATGAGGTGCAGTGGGGTGAAGGAGAGGGCTGAGGAAGGGTGAAAGCCCGCCCTGCCTACAGCAGGGTCTTCTGGGCAAGCGTCTGGCCCTGTGGATATTCCTGACTTGTCTGAGGTTGTACATAACCTCAAAGTGACTCAGTGCCCAAGGCTCCACCCATCCTTCTTATGGGCTGAGGAAGCCAGTGCCCTCCCAGGTGTCTGCGGGACAGGGCAGCAACTTCTGCGGCTCCTGTGCTTGGAGGGGTGGGTGGGGAGTGTCTCCACTGAGGGACAATGGGTGTAAGGAGCAGCTGTCACAAGGCATCATTTATGTAGGGGGATGGGACAGGAGAGGGTGCCGCTTCCCCCTCAGCACAGTCACATCTAAAGAGTGCTGAGCCACCTGGGGCAAAGGGCATTTGCCACCCAGCATTACCAAAGGAAGAGATGAGAAGGCCATAGAGCTGAGTAGAGACCCAGACCTACTAAAGTAGCCCGATGCTCCCAGTTCTCAAGAAAGCTCCTGCCATGTTCCAGCCCTTTTCTGCAGAGCTCCTTGTACAGGAGTTGAAGATCTTTACAAGTAACCAAGGACTGGCCATCATTCAGCTAGTGATGGCCATTATGATGTGACCTGACTGATAGGCACCCCACTGAGAGGGACACCGGCTGCCACGGGCCGACTCCTACTCATGGTGACTGTATGGGTTGCCAGAGTAGAACTGTGCTCTTTGGGTTTCCAGGACTGTTTGATTGGAAGCAGATCACCAGACCTTTCTTCCACGGTTCCTCTGGCTGGACTTGAACTGCCAACCTTTCAATGAGCAGCTGAGCCTATTAACCCCTTTCACTGCCCAGCGATTCTTTATGTGACTTAGACTTGAGCGGTCCTAGCCATCGGAGGAAGCGGGCCTGGGAGCTCACCCAGCCAAACCTTTTTCTTCTTGCAGCCAAGAGCAGAACAAACACAGAGGAGTCAAGGCATCGCTTGTTCGGGCCAGAGCCAGGACCTGGAAGCAGGTAACCAGTTGTAACCTTCCACTCTGTGCTTTTCTGCTCTATCCTTCTGCTGCCTTAGCATGTGGTCACCCGGGGGAAGAAAGGGACACAAAAGGTAGCCAGAGACCTAACCTCTGAGGGTCAACACCAGGTACTTACTCCTAACTCCAGGTGGCAGTCTCTCTGCTTGCAGCATCCACGTGAATGAAATCACAACCGAGGGTTTCCCTGGTGAAATATTGTAGATAAATAAATGCCTGGCGGCTGAACCCACGGCCACTTCTGACTCAAGTGTTTCTTGACCAGAAGGTGACACAAGACGATTACTAATGCTTTCACTGAACAGAGAGTCATTTTAGGGGCTCTCCTTTTGTGGTGGCAATCTTTAATGTTGGTGCAAGGGGCATTGTCATGACTGGCTTGCCCTTGGGGCAGCATGTCACTGAAGCAGCCTGATTGATAGGCCAGGTCAGAGAAGACAATGAAATGGCTCCACATCGCCCCTCACCCCCTTCTTTTCTTTGCTTTATATAACAGCCCAGAGAGCAGTCGCATGGAACCTCATTGTTTATTTGGGACAAATGAAGAAGAAACACTGGCTCCCCTGCTCATCTCTGCTTTCCCTACGAAGATGGACAAAGGGAAGGGATGGAGCTCATGGAGAATGGGAAGGTGGATGATTCCAGGAGGACTGTTATCCTGGCAGCCTGAAAGAGCAGGAAACTGGTCCCCAGCATGCAGGAAGACTATTATGTGCCAGCAAGGCTTTTTGTTATTCTGAAGTGGGTCACACTCCAACAGAGATATAACATTTCTAGCAGAAGATCCCAACCCTTCCTTAATAAAATGCTTTGGAGAAGGTCGCCGGTCACTTGAACTCTGTGTGTGGTGACACTGGTGACACGCAGCATCGGGCAGGAGCCCTGAGAGGGGAGGGGGCTGCTGGAAAAGAGCACTGGTTATGGCTTGATTGATGCATTTTTATTCATGCAAACAAGCCAAGCAGGGAAAATGTCTTTTCAGTTCATTTCCTCCCCTCAACCTTGTTTTAAACCCCAAACAAGCATGCGAGTAGAGTGCCCTCGTTTCTCATCAATGAAATACCAATGATCCCAGAGCTGGAAACTCCTCGAAGACACTAAGACCCATTCCAGTCAAGTTGGTTCCAACTCAAAGCCACTCTACAGGGCAGAGAGAACTGCCTGGCACGGCTCCCGGGGCTGTACATCTTTACAGAAGCAGATGTCTCCTCCTTCTCCCACAGAGCGGCTTGGGGGTTCGAACTGCTGAGCTTACCCACTGAGTCACCCGGGCTCCTCCTCTAAGAGAGGCGCAGCATGAAGCACACAGGGGATGTGGCAGATACAATTATGTCTTATCTCCTGAGATAGCTTTCTGTATTGGACAGGTGGGAGAAACACGTTCCAGGAGCTAGGCTCTTGCTCAATGTCCAGCACGGGGCTGAAAAGCAGGCAGGTGCTGGCTCTAAGGAAGATGGACATCGGCTCCCATCCCACGCATCCCATAAACACACAGAGTGCTGACCTACTATTAGCCAGATGACCTTCACATGCATTTTTATGAAGGTATCTGAATGGTGGGTGCTAAAGGTGTAGGCTGGAACATATATGAATTTGAGCTGGTGACACCCCAAGGTGCCAAGGAGGAGGCCGCGTTCGGCTGCTGGATGCAGAGAAATGACCAGCCGAGCAGAAAACTGCAGTTGGGGAGAGACGGTCTCAGGGGCTCAGTGTCAGAAGTGAAGAAAAAGGGGGACCCAGAGGACAGCAATCGATGTATTCTCTTTTCGTTTTCCATAGACTGTGACTTTCTCTCTACTGCCTCATCAAAGAGTCATTTCCAGCGGCTTGGTTCTACTTGATCTTTCCTTCTTTTGTCATCTGGACGAGTGAGGGAGACTTCTCAGAGAAACAGGACCGGGGATCAATTATTTGGCATAATGAGGTTGCCAAGGAAAGTGATTCGGGGACCAAGAACCCTCCACACCTCTAAGCTGCCCATCACCCCTCTCACTGCCCCAACCTGGTGACTCTGGTGGTTCTCTTCAGTTGGCTGTGGACAGACCCAGCCTGGCAACAAGCGTGGGCTATTGCAGACTAGAGATCAGAGAGGCAGCCCCCGTCGGAGACGCTGGCTCATGGGCCAGTCCTCATTTCGATCAGAGATTTACCCCCCCAAAAGGCAGAGATGAGTGGGGCCCTAACCATCATTCTATCCCTCCGCGACCTCATTTTGCCAAAGAGGGGACTGACAACCAGAGTGGACCAGCTCTGTTCCATGGCTGGCCTTAGATTCCACTCCATGTGTGTGCCCCTAACCTGTCCTAAGCTGTTTAGCATATTTATCCAACTCATAGACAACCCCAAAGGACCAAAAGATAGAGGGCAGAGAGACAGGGACATAGAACAACCACACCGGGGCTGAATCTACCCCCCATAGTCAAGAGGAGTCAGATGCTGAACCCAGCTAACTTAAGTCGTGCCCCGTAGCTGCTTCCTGTGTAAAGGGTGGTCACAGACCTCCCCTGCACTGCAGAAAGGGCCTTCTGGAAAAGAGACTTCCTTCCAAGTGGGCAGAGGTTCCTTGGGGGTGGGGGATCCAGCCAACGATCTGAGATCGGCCTCCTACGTTCAAGCTCCACTAAACCCCACACCCATTGCCCTGGGGTCCATCCCTTCATGGCACTGTTGAATTGCTCCCTGGGTTTCTGAGACTATTCATTTTTCTGCAAACAGAAAGCGTCATCTTCCTCTGATGGGTTTGAATGTTGGCAGTCCAGCATCTAGCCCCAATGCCATCAGGGGTCCAGTCAAGGCTACCCAAGGCAGAGTTGCGAGGCTCAGATGAAGAGGAATTCTGCTGGCCTCTAAGGGTTCAGTGTAGGCAGAGGGCACTGCCAAGCACACTCCGACCCGGAAGCCCAAATCAATCTGCCTGGCTCTCCCTGGACTTGTCTCACTTGCACACGAGTCCCCGTGTCCAATCCCCTCAGCTCTCAGTGTCTCCCGAGAGCTGGACACAGGTGGGCTTGGGCCTGTGCAGCTGAGGAGAAAGGCGCGGGGCCCTTGGGACTGACTGCACATGCCACGTGTTCTGCTTTCAGGCGGAGGGGCCACGTGTGGGAGGGAGGACCCTCTATTTTGATGAGCCCATTTCCCCATTCTATGTGACTAGCCAGACTCCCTGGGCTTGAAGGCTGTGACACGGAGTGAACGGTCACTCTGACTCCTAGGACAGAGATGCCTCGGAAGGACGAGCTCGGGAAGAAGAGGGTTGACACGGCTCGCCGGGACAGTCCCTCCCATTCCTCCATCTGAGTGCGGCAGGCCTGAGCCCCACCAGCAGAGGACCCGGAAACCCGGAGAGGGTCTGATGTCACTTGAAGGGACTCTTAATTTCTGCAAGTGAGAGGAAAGTGTCTGGCTCAAGGTTCGACAGCAGGTCAGGTGGAGGTGGGATGGGAGCCCAAGCCTGGGGACCCCCAAGTCAGCGCTCTTTCCCTTCTGTGCCCGTGAGAGCCAGTCCCCACCGTGGCCTCGCTTCAAAATGCAGCACCGCAAGGCTGTGCCCTCTTCCTGCTGAGTGTTGCTCTCCAGCTAAGGTGACTGATGGCCTGAACTTCCTGCTCATCAGGATGGCATCTTGGGCCAAGTTCTGATTTCATCCCCTTGGGGCTCGCTCTTACAGGAGGAACTGGGCCCCGGGGCTTTGTGAAAGCATTCGAGTTCTGGCACAGCGGGGCTGCTGGGAAACCTTCCTCCAGTTCTGATTTCCCATTAAGAACTCAGTTTGTTTGCAATAATGCCCAACACCAGGGGCTCTTTGCCAGGCGGCTTCCCACTTTCCTCTCCCATTTCCTTTCCATGGATTACACATGGGCCTTTAAGAAGCAACGTGACCCTCCCACCCCCTCCCCATGAAAGGCTGAGGTTCCCACAGAAGCCTACTGCCATTCTCCAGCCAACGCTACCATGCAGCACACATGCGGAGGGCCGAGCCCAACCTCACCCACCTCTTTGAAGGACTTCTTTACCTCCACCAAGGAGTGCCAGTGTGCGATGGGCTTCCGAGGGTAGGCCAGCATCTCATTCCAGTGGTCCCTGCCCAGGCCTTCTGCATTGATGCCCACGCGGCAGACGCCGATGATCTCATTGTGGCCCACACTGAGGGCGAAACCGAGGGCCTGGAGTTGGTGATCAGACATGCACCCAACAAGGGGTGTCTTGGGGTCTAGGACTCTGCCTGGCAGGGCTAACTTGGGGCTCTGAGCTCTAACAATGTTCAGCAGGGCCTCCTGCGGGGCACCAGAGCTTTGCCCAGCCGCTTTGCGTGGACTCTGGAGACAGATAGATGAGCGTCATGTTATCAACTTGTCTGGAATTTTGGGAAGCGGTGAACAGATGGCCTGACTTTGGAGGATGGGAGTGTTTAAGTGTCTTCCCTTGGTTGTCTCAGCCGCCGCACCACAGTCTTGCCAGAAACATCACCATTTAGAAATCAATCAACCTGTTTGGAGCACCACTGCTCCAGCCGCCCCCCAACCCCTGGTGGCTGGGTTGTGATTTATTCACACAGGAAGGACCTCCATCATCATGCAAATGTGTTCACCCAGCACCTACTAAGCCTGAGAACTGGTGCTAACAATCCTGGGCTGAGGCTCCCCTGCACGGTTGCCTTCTGCTTCACCTAAAAGTACCACTGCAGCGAAGAAGCCTGGGGGGTTAGAGTAGTTGGGAGATCTTCTTGAGCCAGCCCTGGTGGAAGAGCAGGGTTTGAATAAGTGGAAGGGAGGAAACACTTCGGAGGAAGGGAAGCCAGGTTGGCTGGACGTGCCGGGTCCAAATTATGGAAGAGGGTCTTGAGGGTCAGGGGGGAAACCCTTGTCCACTGAGAGTGCAAAAGAAGGGGAAGGTCAAAAAGGAACATGGTCTTTTAGGAAGACACGTGCTGAGTATGTGACTGGGTTGAAGCCTGGTGCTTCCCTAGGTGGCTAGGGGGCTGCAGGACCACCCCAGAGCAAGAATAGCAGCAGCAGCAGCAGCAATGGAGGCGAGTAAAGGACAGATGCTAGGGCTTCGTGTCAGCTGGAGCAATCATAGCTGGAGGTCAAACCATGGAGAAGGGTGGATGGAGCTGTCCCTTGTGGAAATGGGTTAACTGGGAAGGGAAGCTTCATTCCTCTGATTGGGGCTCATCCAGGCCCTTCCTACAACTCCTCAGCCTCCTTGGTGGAGTCATATTAAAGCCACCTTGCACCTGACCCCGAGCCACAAGGTCCCAGACTCCGAAGCCCGATGCTTTCTGGAGTGGGAATGAGGGGTGGGGAGTCATGCCCTACCGATCATAGTCCATGACGGAGATGAGCAGACTGACTTGATCCATGTTCTCCGGGGGGATGTCAAAGATGACGGCCTCATTGTAGACGGGGTTGAGGGTGTTCTTCTTTATAGTGGTTTTCTTCTTCTTCAGCCTCCGCCCATCGCAAAGCAGGGACACTTTGACGTAGGGATCTGTGCCAAAGAGGGCAGTGGCAAGGGAGGGGTGGGTGCGAAGCAGATGTTCTCAAACATCGTTTGCAGCAGAGGGACTGAGCCCTAGAGCTGCTGGGGTTTGTCAGGTGGTATCAGTGGGTTGTTAAAACCATGAAACCACCATGCATGTATGTAGCGCACCTGTCTCTGAAGACACTCGGGGCTTAGTAAACACAGAGGCTCTAGCTACCTCAGGATTACCGAGTAGGTGCTTCATGGGTTTTCACTAATGGGGAAGCTGGCCCCACATCACACAGGACACCTGCCCCTGGACATGCGGGTCACAGGCCTAAATCTGGTCCCCGGGATGGCTAGCTGGCCCCAAAGGGTGGCAAGTCGGAGCAAAGGCACTCTTTCTTTCCCTGACGTGAAGTCCTTTTCCCTGGGGGTTGGTCAGCATGATTAACCAGAGGGCAGAGGGGTGGGTACAAATAGAACTCAACGGTGCCCACGGAGTAGCGGCGTGTCACAGTCAAATGAGCAGCGGCACCCCACTGCCGTTCTCGTCCTCCCCACCTGACAGCATGATTATGGGTCCCATTGTCCCACAAAGTTCATGTCCATTGGCATCAAGAAGGAGAGTCGTGTCTCTGGTCCCTGTGTCCCCGGAAGCCACTTCCTGCTTCCTTCTGGGCAGTGGAGGAGGCAGGAGCTGCGGCCAAGGGGAATGAGGCAGGCCTCCTGAGAGTCAGGGCAGCTGGTTGACATTTCATTTCTCAGTGGGATCTTGGATGTTTTCCATCCAATGAGACACTCTAAGTAGAAGGCGCCTCTTCACTGAGCTCCCCTGTGCCTCCCAGCCTGGGCTCTCCTTTATTTTTCTGAATGGCTATCTCCCAGTCAGCTCTCTACCCTGAAATTTTCTACTCATCTAAGTGAACTGGCACCTATTATACCTCAGAGCACAGGTGTCTGGGTCATCATCGTAATTGGTATTTACACTGTGCAGCTGAAGAAACGGGAGGGCCACTCATAGGTAATAATAGCTTTGGAGATGCTGATGTCCTGAGACACCTTCTTGACCAGAAGCCAGGGCTCATGTGAATCTGTCGTGAGGTGCGGACCAGAGCTGCCCCTACCCTGGGTCAGGATCAGGCAACAACTGAATGCTGGTTTCTCCACACTCGAGTTTAGCCAATATCAAAGCAGTCTGGGTTGAAGGTAAACCCAAACTCAAACACCAAGAGACCCGCTTAGAGAGGCCCAAGGCATGCTCGCCCCAGTGCATCACTCTCTGACCAACTCCTTCAAGCCAGTAACTCCTCATGGACTCATCCTTCATTTGACCCTTATGGAATACCTATCAATTGCCACAAGATGCCCTGAGGGTGTAGGGGTGAGGTGTTGAGCCACTCCTCGAGAGACAGGGCTCTCGACTCCTGTCAAGAGCTTTGCACTCTCGGAAACCCGCAGGAGCAGGTCTACCCTGCCTGACATGAGTCGGCATCAACATCTGGCTTGATTTGATCAATGGCCACAGCCCATTGTTCCAGGAACTTACATCCGTGAGCAACGCTGACTGAAATCCCCACTGAAAGGAGGGGCCCTGCCTGTCGGCTGAGGCTTGATGCCAGATGCCAAAGTCAGGTAGGAAAGAGGGGCAACGTGAGAGGCAGGTGAGAACCCGGTGTGGAGGAAGTCTCCCCTCCCAGGCCCTCTCTGCCTGGAAGCAGCCTGACTGTGTAACCTGTGACTTCGCCGTCGGCTCCCTTTCTAGCACGCCAATTTAATTATACCCGAGAAGACAGTGTGGGGACGTGGGCTGCAAAATCCTATTTCCCTCAGCAGTCTCGAGAGTCCTCGGCACACAGCCGTCCCGGATACACACTTATTTTGCTATTAAAATGCAATCGACTGGGGCTCTGTTTGGGGACGCAGTGGACTTGCTGCTGACTAAGAGCCTCTCACAAGGCAGAAGAGGCTCTTTCAGCTCTGCACCAGGTCTGCTGTGCGTCAGGGTGCTTCAGGGACAGGCAAGGCTCTCCTGGGAGCGTCTGGCCTTGAAGGGGTGAGGGCTGCAGAGACAAGGGACCTGGGGGCTCCGGCTCCCAGGATCCCAAGCCACAAGAAACACATGACTTCAGCGGCTCCCAACCACCTTTTCCTAGAACCTCAATTTTCAAGACAATTGGGCAGTAGCATCTCTGGTTTGTTTTGTGGTGTGTGGGGTTTTCTGAGTTGTTTGCTTTGGGTTTTTTGTTTTTTCAAATATGTCATCTCCTTCTGAGTGCACCAGGTGGTGCCTGGGCCCAGATGTTTCTACCTGGACCATCACCTCTGGATGGCAGCTGTGATTATGCGAAGGAATTTCTCCAGATCCCACGAAAACTCCTCCATAGATTCCCCTCACAGCCAGAGGCCCGTCCTGAAGCTGTTTTATATTGGTGAGCTGAATCATCTATCCGAAGGGGTTCTTGGGGCGAGGGGAGTCTAGGGAAACCAAAACATAACAGTAGCTATTCCGAGTGTGGTCTGACTGCTCCCCGTGCCTGTGCTGCCGGAAGCCTCACCCTGTTTCACCTCGCTGGCTGTTTGAGTCAACACGGCACAGGGAGGAGGCTCCCAGGATTCCGAATTGATGGGGGCTCTGGGTGTGTGTGTGGGTGTGTGTGCGCGTCAAACCTCGCCTACCATTTCCAGCTTGCAGGTCCCACCCACCTACCCACCCTTTCCGACTCCTAGCGAGCTTACAGAGGATGCCTTAGGCTATACATCTTGATGGGAGCAGACAGTCTCATCACCCTCCCTCAAAGGGGCTGGTGGGTTTGAACTGCCCATCTTGTGGTTAGCAGCCCAGCGTGTGACCCATTTCGTCACCAGGGCTTCTTGCAGATTCCATGCTCTCCCAAGCACGTATCTGTGTGCGTTTCCAGGACAGGGCTCTCTCTCCTTCTCCACCAAGCAGCTCTCTGAGTGCGGAGGCCAGGCCTCGGCCGGGAGCCCTGCAGGAGCACCCCAAACACAGATGCACTTTCCTTTTCTGTGGGATTGCCCCCACGACTCCTCCATACACAGGGCTGCAGGAGGCCCACGTGGACCCATAGACAGGTACACATTCCAGCCCCACATAACCCTTGTGGACGTCCTGGGGCCTCGCGGGGACTAGAAAGATCTTCCTTAATGCTTTGTGCCCCACCACAGGCAGTCCTTGCGCTGGGCCCATCCTTCTGCCTCGTAACTTACAGCCAACTCCGTCTTGCCCGGTAATGTTCTGTAAAATTACCTTCGCTTTGAAGGAGTGAGCCAACCCCTACTGGCGACCAATTCTCCACCACAACCACCTTCACTTGCTGCGTGCGCAGCGTCTACGTCACGGAAAGAGCTCGGAGCCTTTGCTCGCGCTAAAGTCAGGCGACATGAGAACCACCCGCCCCTGCTCTGACATACCTAAAAATCTGACTTAAAGACGCTCTCCAGACAAATCTCCTTGGGAGCCTGGGGATGGCCTCTATTTCCTTTTCAGCCTCTCCGTCTCGAATAGAACAAATGATAATAATAGCTAATATCTACCGAGTGCTTATTATGTGCCGGCACAGGCCTTTCCATGAGTTAACGTGTTTATCCTCGAAGCAGCCCCCGTAAGCACGGCATTATCACTCCCACTTTGCACACTAGGACATCGGGGCATGTAGTCAGCGCTGGGAGTCAAATCCAGGCCCCGTGCCTCCAGAGCGGGCTGCTCCCACGCTCAGAAGAGCGACAACACTTTGCCCTTCTCTCCCAGCAAGCACCCTTCCAAATCCCAGGGTCTTGCCCACCCACGTGGGGGGTGGAGGTCCCTGCCAGATGGCGGGGAGGCTGGGCCAGGGAGTTACCTGAGTAACCTGTGATGTCCATCGCCTTGAGGTTCCGACATTTGATCACCGTGAGGGTAAGCCGGCCTGCTGTGGGCAGGTAGCAGAGGGAGAACATGATCTCTCCCAAGTCCACACTTTCCTGTAAATGCAGACAAGAAGGCAGGTGAGCGGCATGCTCTTTGAAGCACAGTGCCATCTTTTCAAGACCTAAGAGGTTGTGCTCCCGTGGGGAGTAACTGGTATAAAAGGCACTGGTGGCAAAATTACGGCTTGAATTTGATGGCAGTGAGTTTGGTCCTGTTTGCTTGTTTGTTTGTTTGGTAAAGCCTATCCTCTAAGCTTGTGGTTACAATCCCGTTTGGGGATGAGCTGGCTGCTGTGTTAATGAAGCAGGGTTAGAGTCGGGGGTGTCAACCTCTTGTAAGAGATACAAGGAGGGAGCAGAGATGGGGGAAGAGAGACGCTGAGCTACTTAGAGATCTCCAGGGAAACTGGACACAGGAAGCAGAGGCTGGCCGTGAGAGAGTGCCTGGAGCTGGGCCCTGAATCCAGGCAGCGGACCTCCTAAACTGTGAGAAAATAAACGTCTGTCTGTCAAAGCCGCCCTCTTGTGGACTTTCTGTCATAGCGGCCCGAGATAACTAAGACAAGCCTGATTCCCTGCTCAGGAGAATTCATCTCCAATGGTGCTGTGGTCCGATGCGTCTGAAACGGAACCAAACTGCTGGATTGCCCCTTGACCATCCTCACAGTCAGCTATGATCGAACTGTTGTGCTTCACGCAGTGCTTGTCGGCTGGTTTTTGGGAGTAGATTGCCAGGCCTTTCTCCCTCGTCCATCTTAGCCTGCAACCTGTTCAGCATCGTCACTCACTGCCACTAAGCTGATCCCGACTCATAGCGACCCGACAGGACAGGGAGAACGGCCCCTCTGGGTTTCCAAGACTATAATGCTGGATGAGAGCAGAAAGCCTGTCTTTCTCCTGCAGAGAGACTAGTGGCTTCGAGTTGCTGACCTTTTGGTTAGTAGTCCAATGTGTATCCAGTATGCCACCAGGGTTCCTATGGGGGAGGGCTCTAGGTATTGACGTTTTAGACAGGGTGGTCTGGGCCACCGTCCCTGAGGCGCCTTCTGAGGAAGAGCTGGGTGAGGGACTCATTGGACTGGAGAGTTCTGGAGACACTTGATGCTTGGGCCCACCAGGAGAGTAATCCCCCCTCCCCACTTCTCCCTCTCCCTCCCCCCTCCCCCCTACCACTCCAGAATCTGTGGCCCCAATGATCTCCTTTGCCATTCTTTGCCACTGCCGACCCTGCCCCAACACCCCTCAGGGACAACAGAAGTTGATTCCTCCATCTCCCCTGCGATGACCCGGCTGGGCCCGGAGTTTGACCTGCAGAGAGAATCTCGCCCTTCAGCTTGCAGAACTCTGTGGCCACCTGAGGGCCAGCGAGCCGAGACCAACGTCTGTGGCATTGCTGTGCTCTGCAGAGCTCTCCCACGGACGGCATCTGCACCTTAGGGCGGGCGGCAACTGCATGGGGCAAGGGTGACTGTCAGAGTTTCCTTCATCTCACAGATGACGAACTTGGGACTCAAGAGTGCAAGCCCCACCCAGCCTTGCACAGCGGGCAGGAGTCGCCACAGGAGTGGTCCAGGGAGGAGAGGGCTCCTTGCATCCACCTGTGAGCAGCAGCCCTTCCCGCTCTCGTGGGACCCTCTGAACTGGAGACCTCAGCTTCATGCAGCTGGGTCTTTGTTCAGGCAAGAGCTTCCAATGGAGTCATTCTGGTTTCAGCCCCCTGCTGCGAGTGTGCATTTGCACCCTAGAGAGACGGACCCAGATCTCCAGTCTCACAAGGCCCCCACGCGAGTCGTACAGATCCCCACGTGCTTTTCCTGTCCAGCTGATGCTTCTTAAGGGGACCTTGTTAAAGTGTGGATCTGGCCTACCCAGGGACCAAAATGCACATTCTTAGCCGAGGGCGAGCTGGGACCAGCTGGCTTGCCAGCCTGGCTCATGTGTTCATATTTACCGAGTGTCCAGCAGGGACCCTGTACTCGCTGGACATTACACAGCTACTCTCCTCAACACATACAGTTTAATGGGGTCACAACTGGCTAACTGGTTAAAATAAGCAAGAGGTGGCAGGCTCCAGGGTCTCCGACCACCTCTGGCATGTCCCCTGTCTCCCCCAGGGGACGTCAAAGCAGAGAGGCACAGAAAGCTCCCCGTGGCCCGGCATTGTGGGAAGTGACTGCCCCGTCACGCACCTGGGATCTGACCCGCTTACAGACTCCATGAGCAGAGTGATGAGGACGCCCCGAGCTCCCCCTGGCTGCGCCCTGACTCCATGCTGGGCACCTGGCGAAAGGATATCATCCGTCTAGCACAGCCCTTTGGGAGAGCGACTCTTACTCCCCGCCCCCGTCAGCAGGAGAGGTGACTATCCAGTGACGTTAAGTGACTTGCCCACGGCTGCATCGGAAGGGCGTGTAACCCGTGGCATTGACTGTGTTGCCAGGCTTTGGGCTAACCCTCCCCGAGACACACCTGCTGGAAGGACTGTGCTCAAAGACCCTCCGTAGCTCCCCTTGTGTGTTCTCTCAAGCAAGGCCCATCTTTGTAGCATGCAGAGCCCTCAACGACGGGCCCGTCTCCCCTCTTCACCGGAGGAGGTCTCTATGCTGACCCTGTGTTCCACGTGGGCTATTCTAGCTTTGGTCTCTTTGACCCAACGGTCTTCCGTGAAGAGCCGAATGGTGTCCTTCCCCCTGAACGACGGTGCTCAACTCCTAAGGCTGGCACCTGAGAACCCGGAATGGGCTCCTGGCAGATGTATTCAAGTTGAGAGGAGGTCAGGAGTGAGTGTGGGCCCTGGGACAAGACGATTGGGCCCCTTGTAAGGGAGGAGAGCCACAGACACCAGGCGTAGGTGGCCGTGGGAAGACGGAGGCAGAGGTTGTCGTTAGCAGCCACCGAGGGCTGCCTGAGGCTATGTGAAACTGGAAGAAGGCAGGATGGATCCTTCCCTGGAGGCTCTGGCGGGAGAGGGACCCTGTCGATCCTCTTGATTTCAGACTTCCAGCCCCCAACATGGTGAAGGAATACATTTCTGTTGTTTGAAGAGATCGGGTTCAAGGTCATTTGTGATGACAGCCCTTGGAAGCTAATAGACCTCCCCATTGCTCTGCTCTGGCAATACTACACATCTCGTAGACCCGGGGCCACGACCCCCTCTGGAAACCCTCTCGCAAGGCCCAGCCCATGACAAGCACTTCTCTCCTCCTGCCTGCAGCATTCCCGGCTCCTGCACTGCGCACAGTAGTTACCAGGTGCCCCTTGCCCTGAAGCTGCGCCACCCACGAGTCTGGGGACCAGCCCAGAACACACAACAGGAGCCCCACAACTGCACGTGGAAACGAACGGTTACATTTTAGCCAAAATGATCTTACGAGAAAGGGCTCCCCGATGCATCGCACAGGTGGAGGCTGGATTTTTGCTGATGGCCTGGGAGAGACTGGCCTGGGGATGTGAGGGGTAAGAGCCAGTTGTCATTGGGCGGCCCTTGACTCATGGTGATCCCATGGACTGTGCTCCTCAGGCTGATGTTTTTGGAAGTACACATCTCCAGGCCGTTCTTCCCAAGGTGGACTTGAACCACCAGCCTCCATCCCCTCATCCCACACCTCCGTATTCCAACAAGTAGCAAGTGCATAGCTGTTTGCACCCCCCAGGGACTCATGATATGAAGGTGAGCTCAGAGCAAACAGAACTTCCCTCGCCCGGGAGCCCTATGAGGGGCTCTCAAGGGCTGATCCCCCCCAGAGGGAGCATAGGCCCCCTGGGGGGGGGTCGGCTGAGGAAGCTGAGTGTGGTTCCTATCCCTACCCCTGACAGTGAATTCCTCCCAGAGAGATGAAGGGCCTGGCCCAATGCCCCACCAGGGCTTGGAGGCAGAGCAAAGACAGGGGCCAAGAGGCTGGAAGCCCTTCTCCAGCTCTCTCTGCATCGGGTGGCTGGGCCTCACCAGGCCGACGAGCCAGCCCACTGTTTTTGGCTCAGGGGCTGGAGAGAGATATTGCTACCCTGCACACGCAGGCAGCAGAGTATTGGGTTATTAGATAAAGGAAAACAAATAGGTTAATTTTGAGTAAATAGAGGATGGGAGCTAAACAGAGAACCAGCATCTCCTGGTAGCCACCAGAAAGCCCAGCCCCACATGGGGCTGCCCTGGCAGCTCCGACCCCCCACCCCCACCCCACACACACACACACTGCCCTCTTCCTCAGGAAGTTTCCGAGCAGCCCCCACACGCCTTTCCAGCCTCTGATCCTCATTAGGGATGTCTGAGACGTTGGGCTTTAATAAAAGCAGGGGTGACCGAGGGCTGCAGTGCAGCGGTGCGTTATTGCTTTCACTGTCACCTGCTGTCAGGAAAGGTTGCCTTCGGGCCCCTGCCTGGTAATGAGGTCCCCGGTGCTGGCGAGGCCAATACTGTTCAGGACTCAGAGGAAGGCAGCATGGTACTCTTGACTTCTGACCAAGGGCTGAGAGGGTGGTCCCGAGCTCCCTAGCAACTGGGTGCTGCAAGGAGATGAGTCTGTGGCCAGGAGATGGAGAGCCAGATGTTGGCTCCCGGATGAATCTGCCCACCTGACATTGCGGCCTAGAATGGCAGCCCTCTCCCCTGGCTACAGGGCCCATCGATTGTACGGCCCTGCTGGCCCTGGCTCCCCTGTGACCTACCTGCCACAGCTCATTAAAGCATTTCTCCCTGGGGGAGGCACTCCCATCCCGCCAGGCATAGAAAAACGATTCTGATCAGGGCTGCTCGGGAAAGAGTCCTGAGCCCTGAGCAGGAGACCCAGGCTTTAGCCACTACCAGTCACATCACCTCTCTGGGCTCCAGGCTCCATGGTGCGGGTACGGGCAGCATTGTGGGCGATCGGGCGTGCTGTGGATAATTGCAGGAATGTAGATGAGAGACGAGAACATAGGATTCACAAGGAGAAGCCTGTCACCAGTCATCGTCTATTGAGACAGCCCAGGATGCTTTTGCTGGTGTCTTTGGCCCGCCTCTCAAGGAATCGAGCAATTTGATTTTGAAATCCAAATGCTCTCACTCTTGCACCCCA